GGCTATGTTAGGGAATAACATCAGTGAAATAATGTAAGGAAGGAAGGTTTGGATCCAGCTTCCCCTCCCCCCATGCCCCCCCCATGCCAGTGCTCATCAGAAAGAAAAACTGCACCCCAATATTTTAGGATTTCAGTATCTAGATCTTTTTGGATCTGCTGAAAGCCCCTGGCAACCACTATTGAACCATTGCCAGCCACCAGCTTAGGTGACTCTTTTCCCTTCTTGTTCTTCCATAACAAGCATGGAAAGTGGAAAATCTGCAAAAAGAAAAGTGGCATTTGCTCTCTTTGCACAGCGCACCAGTGTCTAAATTGAATGCTCCCTTTTTCTGCCTCTCCCTCTTTTCTTTCTATTTTTAAAATCTGCAGGCTATATATTCTTTCTCATCATGAAGTCTTAGAACTCCATTTCTAACAATGGATCTTCTTCTGTACTTTCCTAAAATGCTTTGAAATATTGAGGACAGAAGACTTCCTAGCCGAAATAGGGCTTGTGTGGTTGAGGCCATGGGGGACTCGCCAAAGTGGCAACTTGCAAAACAGAGAACTGGACCACTGGACCAGCATCAAAGGTAGGCATGATTGGATACCTGTGAGCGGCCTGCGCCCCACCAGGGGCCCACAAGAAAGATCCATCTTAGACTTTCCTTCTGCCCCAGTGCAAGCTGTTTCTCAGTCCGACCCAGGCAAGGCAGGCACTGAGAAGGTGCGAGAGATGCAGTGGCCTGCCTGCTCATTGGCTCTCTGCCTGCCAATGCTGAGGAAGATGAGAAGCAAGCATGGTGGTGATAGTGGTCAGAAGAAAGTAGAATCCCTTGGGAGGGGGGCTGATGAGGAGGTGTTGTCCGTGGCCCATCCAAAACTGGACTGCTTGCATTCCTGCAGACACAGATCTGTGAGTTCAGGTTGCTGTTGAGCTTGCAAAGGGGAGGCTGTGATTTGCGGAAAGAGGCAATTGGGTGCTCACTGCGTCTCTCTTATTTAGAACCTGATCCCCTGTCTGTCTGTCTGTCTGTCTGTCTGTCTGTCTGTCTGTCTGTCTTTCTCTCTCTCTCTCTCTCTCTCTCTCTCTCTCTCTCTCTCTCTCTCTCTGCTGAGCATCATGAATTTGTCACATTGCAGAGAACACCAGCTAAAGGGTCAAGCTACAAGTGAAAAGCAATGGTGGAGTGATTAATTTTACCACTTTGCTCACCCCTTGGGTCCCTTCCTCGAACTGCCCCACAAGGAGGACGCATCAACACAACCTCTGGTGAGAGCGCTGGAAGCTTTCCCCGAGCAGCCTCCAACTTGCCGGACGGTGCCTTTGAGGCCAAGCAATGATTCCAGTCATGTAGCTCTATTAGGCAGAAGTTACGACAAACAAAGCATTGCTTTGGGCTACAAACAATAGCTCCCTGCAGTCAATGGAGAGCAAGGATCCACACAAGCACTGAGTAATACCAGACTGCTAGGACCTCCTGAGCCGCATGAATTAAAGCAACATGGAAGAAAAGCTGGGAAGAGAATGACTCGTAACCTCCCATTTTGGGCCCGCTGGACTCCTGGGCCCGCCCTTGAGGGGCGTCTTTCCATGGGGCGGCCTTTCTGGGTGCTAGTCTCTGAGCTGTGTTACGCTGCACTGCCCTTCTCTTTGCATCCTACAGCAACGTCTTGGGTCTCTGGTTCCCAGCCTCTCCTCTCCCCTTTGCAGTTCAGAGTTCCTTTTGCCAGAGCTTCGCAATGCCCTGCCTGGCCTCCAGCTGAGAGGTTTGCCTGCTGCTGGATGGCCTCTTCTCCCTCATGTCTGCTCTTCTCTGCCCCTGGCTCCCATGCCCCCCGTGCCTTGGCAGCATCACCCCCTCATCCTCCTCACCCTCTTTGTAATCAGCTCCCGTGACTTCTTGAAGAGAGTCCACAGAGGTGCAGCTTCCAGCCTCGATCCCACCACGGCATTTGCTGTTGTGAGAGAAGGGCTGCTTGCCCTCTTCTGAGAGCCCCGAGAGGTCTTGTGGGACCCACACGAACTGCTGTGCCCCTTTGCCCAGTCGCTTAGCTCCCCATGTAGCCATATGACGGTGGCTGGAGAAGGGATGCGCTGCAGCTATGGCTGCTTTGTTCTTGCTGTGTGGGGCCAAAGGCCTTGGACCAGGCCTGGGGCTTTGCGTATTGTCCGGGCCACTATAATTTGCATCCTTCTCTTTGCAACTATTTGGTGACACCAATGCCCAGTCTAGGTTAACTGAGTCAGTCCAAGGCTGGAAAGCGGTTCACGGAGAAGGCTCCCACATGCTGTTCAGTGGGTCACCGCATGGGGCAGCCACACGCCGATGCGGCAGCCAGGAGAGTCTGGGGAGCTGGCATTCTGCACTGGGATGAGCCGCATCCACAACCTCTCTGCCTCCTGTACAAATCTCTGCACAGGGATGGCACGCTTGCTCCTTCCCGAGTGCAGATGCTTCCCTGCGATCTAGAAGCCCTGAGTGCAGGGCTCTCTTTGCACAGGGGTCCCTTTCCCACAGACGTTCATGCTGCATGTGTATGTGCCAGGCTAATCCAAGGGTTCTGTGCTGGTGGCCGCTCCATCTCCTGCTCACATGTTCATAGAGTACACAAGTGGCTGGTTTTTGAATTTCTTTCCTGCCTTCCCTCCAAGGCGGCTGACATGATCCACCTCCTTGTCCATCCTCCCAACAACCCTGTGAGATAGACTAGCCTGAGAGTTAGTGGGTAGCCCAAAGCAACTGAGTAGGAATGAAAAGCCGGCTCTCCCAAGCTCCACTCCAAGAACCACTCCTTTGCACTGCCTCTACTTCTGGAGAGGCAACTTGGATGCCCTTTAAATCAGATTAGAGTGAATTCCTGCAATCGCGCAATTAGATTGCACCCAGGGGTGCTACGTGCGCTTCATCAGGAACCCCCCCCCCCAAAACAGGCAACCTCTGTAGGCAGAGTTCATTTTAAAAGCATTGTTAATGCCCAGATGACATACTTTTCACTGCTCCGGCATGGTGCTGAGTTGACAGAAACCATGCTGAGCATGACTGCAAAACAGGAATACCTCTGCACAAGCTCCTACTTAAGCCAGATTCAGGTAATATGCTGTTAGTGTCCCGCCAGGATCAATTTAAGACTGCTAAGGTGTGGATTCCTTGGTTTGTTGTACACACACACAATAACTGCTGAGCAAACACTTGTGTAAGCATACGCTGAAATGTGCAGGGCTAGGGGAAAATCCAAGGAATTGTGGATTGGGGAAGGTGTGGGGGGATGCAAGCGGAGAAGTCCCTCTCCAGTGCCAGGGTCAGGTTTTTGCATCCCAAGGTCGAGGACCCTTAATGCCCCCCCCCCCCCCCCCATGACCAGGTCTGCCTTCTGGCCACCAGCCCGTCCTTTTTCTCACTGTTGCTTCACACTTGCTTGCAAAGAGACAGGGGTGCCCAGTGCTCCTCCCCCTCCACGGACTGGGCTCGATTGAGGGGCATGTGGGTTGCAAGGAGGAAGGGCGTCTCTTCATCTCCCGGTGGCTCTTGCAGGCTGCCCCTGCTGGGGTGTGGGCCATTGGCAGGAGCCCAACCTTGAGTCTCCTTGACTCCATGGCCCCCCAGAGGGTCTGGCCCTGCTCACCACCATCTTCCAGATTGCCCTGGAAGGAATGTGAGAAGAGACCCCTTACCTTTGCTTTGCATGACACATGTTTTTGAGAGATAGAGGAAAGATACAGACAAGAGAAAGGGGGAAAGAGATGAGCTGGATGGTATGAGGATATTTATACAGGCACTTAGCCAGGAAACAGGGCTTTGTTTAGTTTTCCATACATAGGCTTTTTTAGGAAGGGCAGCACATCTGATTGTTTTAAGCTTTCCCTGCATCCCTCCATCGCATGGAGATAAATACTGCAAAACTCTACTCCTAGGAGTGGGATAGGGGGGTAGGGGAGAGGTTAAGGTGGGGGAGAGAGAACTGGCACATGTACACGGGTGAGAGGGTGAGCGAGAAAGAAAGCAACTTGGTACAAGGTTGTTTTACGGATTTTAAAGGCTGCCTCTTTTATTTAAGGTAAAAGAGATGATGCTTGAAGACACCCATTTCCAGCTATCTCCCACTTTATGATGGAGTTACAGGAAACGTGAGAGATTATTAACGAGAAATTGAAATTGAACTGCTCAAGAAGCAGACCCTAGAGGAGCCCATCAAAACACCCACCCCTTAAAGTCCTCTGTCAAAACGCACCTCTCGTTTCTATCCACAGTGACAGGGGAAATAAACCTCCTTCTTCGCTTGCCTCCACGCCAGAAGGCGTGCATTTGCAGCTGGGCAGCTGATTCGTATGGATGGGACCTCGTTCCAGGGGAGCACAACCTGGATTGCAGCCCTGAGGTGAGATGAGGCTGCTCTTGCCAAGCCAGGTACGTTCCAGGGCTCCCAGGGTGAGCGGAATGAAGGCTGAACAGCTTTCTCTTTCCTTTGCAGCTGAAGTTCCAGGGCAAGATCCCTTGGGAAGGATGATGGGAGGCTCGGCTATAGATCGGAGCGCTCAGCTCTACAGTGCTCTCTCTCCCCCTCTCAAATACACACACGCAGACACACACACACACACACACACAGAGAGAGAGAGAGAGAGAGAGAGAGAGAGAGAGAGAGAGAGAGAGAGAGGGAGCGCGAGGGAGGGAGGGAGGGAGCTGGGGAGTCTAAGCGCAGATGCTTGCCTGCGCTAAGCTGATTTACTTGTTAAGATCTGACCTCATCATTTTGTCAGGATGGATTCCCACCTATACAGTTAGGAAGATCTTCACCAGCGTTCCTGATACACAGAGAAAGGAAGAGAAAAAGAAAGGGAAAGACCAGTGCCAGCACCACATGTCTTTTTGGGTGAAGAGAAAGCACTGAAAACCTCGCAGACAAACCGGGTCCATTTCCTTTGTAGAACAACTGGATTTTTGTCTTTCGTTACTGCCGCTTCTCCTCTCTGCCCCCTCTCCCTCCCCCTCCCCTCCAAACAATCCCGAATTTGCAAAGATGTCAGTTTCCAGCAAGAAGGAATTTGATGTGAAGCAGATCCTGAGGCTGCGCTGGAGATGGTTCAGCCACCCCGCGCAGGCTTCCACAGGCACGGGGGGCTGCCTCCAGCAGGAAGGATATGAGCACAGAGGGACTGCGGTTCAGAGCAGGCTGAAGAGCCACCCACGGGACCGGAATGGCCTGAAGAAAAACAACAGCCCCCTCCATCACACCCTCGCGGCGCCAGGGCCCGGGCCGACGCCGGTGCCCCTCTGGCCCAGCCAAGCGCGGCCCGAGCAACGCCTCCTGGAGCAGCTGCGGGTGGCGGCGGAGGAGGCACCGCCGGCGCAGAGCGGCGACCACTGTGCCAAAGCGGAGCCCGGGAAAAGCGCGCAGGATCCGCAAATGACCTCGGAGGAGCGCGGGGATGAGAGGTGGGTGCTCTGGGGGCACCGCTCGGGGATGCCGCCGTTTGCGTGGCGCCACGGATGCTCCTGTACTTGGAGGAGCAGGAGGGACAGGTCCCTGCCCCGTGGAGCTTTCAGTCTGAAATCCCACGAGGGGGAAATACCAGAGAAAGGGGAAAGCTGTGAAGGCAGAAGTAAAGAAGGGCGTACTTACAATCGGTTAGGAGAATAAGGAGTTTTTGCCAAAAGCTTTACAGAAAAGGTGGGTTTTGGCCCACGCTCAGTGCCCTCTCCCGCTATCGCTCCCCCCCCCCCCCCCCCTTCCCCCCTTAAAGTTGTTTTGGAAAAGGGGGGGGGGGGGGGAATGAATATATAGTCCAGTTCTTAACAAGTATGCAAACAACACCAAACCGGAGCTGACATTGATGCATTTCCTTTTCGCTAAAATTAGCACAAACCCTGCCGAACATATTTTGGATGCATTTTCTGACGGGCATTTATGAGATGCATTCCCCGCGTTTCACCTGGTTCCTTCTCACCCCGCCTTCTCTTCGCATTTGTGGTAGCTCTGCAAAGCGTGCTAATTTGTTGCCATGTAAATAAACCAGCTCCAAATGGTCGCTTCATTAATATGTTCAAACTTTGATGAACGGAAAGACCCACACAAGAGCCTGCGAGCACACGCACGGCAGAGCTTTTGGTCCTCCGGTGCCCTTGCTGTTTCTGTTTCTTGCCTCCTTGATGCGTGTAACTAACCTTGAACTGTGGAAGATGCCAGCAAGACGTGTCTGGAAGGGTTATCTGCAAATTGCATTCATCTTTTAGGCTCACGGTGCTGCAACAAGGATCCAAGACTACAAGCCTAGGCAGGTTTGCTCCTTATTTGGGGAGCAAACCCCATCTAATTGATAGGATTAAACTCAAGAAATAAGCGATAGACTGGAGGGGAAGCCTTCATTTCTGAACATCTCCCCTGGCTGTAAACTTAGATATATGCCCACCTCCTTGAATTCATGGCAGAGGAAAGCAGCTTTACATGGAAGTAAATGTCAGTGGGGAAAAAAAATCCAAGAACAGGGTCAGGCACCTTCTTATGAGTTAAATTAAGAAAAGCATAACACTTTTCAATTATTTCACCTCTAAAAGACCCAGTAGCTGAGTTCTCTGATAGAAATAAGATCCTATTTTAGTAAAAACTAAATAGTAGATTACTTTAGAGCTCCAATTTCAGAAGTAATGTTTAAAAATTCTCCTAATTTCAGCTGGACCTTCACGTGCATGGATTCCTCCCATCCCAAAGGAATATTATTTATAAGGAAAAATTTTAGCCCAGGCTGAAAAATCTAGAACTTTTGCAGAGGATGGAGGAATGAATGCAGACATGTGCTCATGCACACATTATTTTTTAAGCACAAGTGATTTGTATTTAATTTTGCTCCACACATGTACTTCAGTAGAAATGATATTTTAAATATTAAGCCTCATTTACTTTTCCAGCAGAAAAAGTCTTATTAGACAGCTGGCTTCTCCCCATGTTCTATGGCTTGGGGTTAGGATTTCCAGTATGAAATCCAATCCTAGGCTTGTTTAGTCTGGAGCCCATTCAATTAGGGCCAGTGGGTCTTACTCCCAAGTAAATGTCAGTGAATACAACATGAGTATAAAGCTTGGAGTCATCATAGAAACTGCTAGGATGATCTCAGCTGGAGTGGCATTTGGACATCCACGGTGAGTCTTCATAGATCTTCTATCATCTGCTAGGAATGTGGGCAGGGATGCAGAAGCTCACCATGGGAGAGTAGCTCCATGAGACATGGGAAATGTAGGAGGCTGCCTCCTGCTGTGTCATCTGGGCCCATGTGGTCCAGGACTGTCTACTCCAGGGGTGCTGAACCTGAGACCCATGCACAAAACCTGGCCCTCAAGCAGTCTCAGTTGCTCCTGGAGCTCTTTGAATAGCTTCCGGCTTGCCCCAGTCTGGTTGCTGCCCCTCCCCAACTGTCAATCTTGGGCAGTTTCCTGAATTTGGTGTGGTTTTTTCCCCCCTTATTCTGAAAAAGATGAAAGGATGCTTGCTTATTTATTTATTTATTAACCTTTATATACTGCCTTACCAGCTAAAATGCCATCAAGGTAGAGCACAGCAATTTAAGCCACAATAACCAAGTTAAAAGGACAAAAAGAATAACATCATATATTGAAAAAGAATATTGCCACAAAATATGACTGGTCAACCAAAGAAGACCTCCTGAAATAGAGAAGCAGTGCTGAAACCATGTGAAGTTGGTCCTCCATGATTCCCAGAGAAGAAGGCTCCAGAGAAAAGGGGCCACCACACTGAGGACTCTTCCCTAGGTGAAACGAATTCAAGGTTCAAGTCCATGAGGAACCCCCAGGCTCATGGGCTGTGATGACCTTAATGACAGGGCCGGTTGGTAAGGGAGAAGATGCTCTCTCAGTCTTCCTGGTCTCAGTGTGGTTAGGGCTTTGCACGTCAGTCCCAGAACCTTAAACGTGGACCAGTAACAAACAGGTAGCCAGTGCAGTTCCCTGAGCAAAGGAGTTGCTGCTGAAAATGGGCAGTTCCTTACAACAGCAGAGCTGCTGCCTTTGAACCACCTCTAGTTTCCACAGCCGACTGCAGGATAGTCCCACAGAGAGTGTAGTGCCAGTCATCCAGGTGCAGTTACTGGAGTAAGGGTTGAAAACTCAGACATTCTGATGTTTTTGGTCACACTGCTCTGCCACTGTTCTCGCCCCTTTTGCCTTTGGTCCAACCTGCTACTGGAATGTGGCCCCCAAGAGCTCCTTGGAAAAGGGGTGAAGAAGGAGGTTCTGTACCCCTGTTTTAAAGCTAGCTAAACCCACGACCATCATTGTGTCTGGTGGCAGTGAGCTATGCAACTTAAGCATTATCTGAAGTGGTCCTGTGCGGAAGGAGATGGAGTGAGCTTCACAGTTTCTGGTCTTCAGGGTCCTCCTGATCCAAGTCTTGCAGTCACTCGGATGTTATATTAAATAAATAAACTTAAATTTGAGTTCTTCAAGGCACATTAGGATCAGTGGGTAGTTGCACATGGCTAGAGCAGCCATCTAGCTCTCAACAGACACAGCTATGATTTGTGCGCAGTGTTTTCCAGGAACCAGTGCAATATTTTTCTGAAGTAAAAATGCAGATGGTTTTGTGCTTGCATATAGCTTCCCAGGCTTGTAAACAAGAGCCTATTCTTGCATTAGTAGAATTTTTTTCTCTTTCCTCTGCATCCTCTTTCCTTGTGTGTTGTGCCTTTTAGCAAAGAAGCCTGGCTGACAATAGCTCTGCAGAGTCTCTGGCAGAGCATCCTCCCACATTCGTACTGCTTTCCTGTTTCTTTTATCAGAAAAGCTAGGGACCTTCTGAGGGCAAAATCTGGCATCCCACCAATGGACGTGAACTCTTTCCAGCAGCTCTCCAGGATTTCAGGCAGAGGTTCTTGCCAGCCCGTTTCCTGATTCTTCTCTCTGGTGTTGCCACCTAGGACCTTCCAGATGCCCTGATGTGAAGCAAAATAGCTCCCTAGACAAAGCAGTAGCAACGCTGGCAACTGCACGGAGACTTCCACCCATCACCTGGATGGGAAAAATAAACAGTGGCATCATTTCTAGCTAGGAACCTTCAACTTGGGATCAGGAGCCTATTTCAGACACTGGTTATGGAAGAAACCATCTGAACAAATAGAAAGTCTGGTTCAAGGAGGCTGTATGTGGCTTTCCAGGTTTGCTTTCGAGGCAGGAGGGGCAGCACATGGAACACCAATCGCCTCCTTTTCATGCAAGGACATGTTTACCTTAAAGGGCACATCTTGGTTTAATTGTCGCTGTTGCTTTCCCAGGGGATTATGGGAATTATAAAGGCAAGCCAGGAATATCCAACAGAGAATTAATTCCCAGGTCAAAACAGGCATTGTTTTAAATGTGCATCTTGCAGCCATGTCTGGCAGCACAAAGTACTGTTTGCGATGACACAGTTGGCATTTAAAGGCTTCCAGAATAAGAACCGATGGTATCTAGGTTGCGTTGTATTGCACCGGGCGCTGTATTCTGTTTTACTGTTATGTGGTGTGTTAAAAACTCTTGGTATCTGCCCTGAGCCCTACAGAAGGGCTGGGCTGGAAAGAGAGAGGCAGACTTGTGTTTAACTTTCTAGATTCTAACAATTAAGGATGAGGGGATGAAGCTTTGCCTGTGCCGCCTTCCTTTCCAAATTGTGATGGCATTTGCCTACTATCTTTCATCAGCCTTGCAGAGTGGCACATGCAAGAACTGTGGTCTCATCCAGTGGCACAGTCTTGAGTCACAACCTCTTTCTGTCAAGGAGTCACAGCTGTCAGGACTGACTCGGTGCTGTGTTTCTCATGTCCGTTTCAATTACTGAGTTTTCATTGTGGTATGACATGCAGTTTTCTTCCTAAAAGGCCCTTTTCTGGGCATCAACAAGAGGAAGAAAGAACATTTCACAGGATTTCATCTATTCTTCAAAGAACCCAATGCCGTGGTAGAAGGCAACTTCTAATATAGCGGGCAGAAGAAATGCCTGATTTTTACCATTCTTCCCTAGCAGCCGCAGTCTCCCCTTTCAGACTGCGGTCTTCCATGCCAGCTGCCTGCACTCTGATGTACTTGGTGGTTAGAGAACTAGTACAAGGGAGAAGGTCTTCAGAGTGGTGGCCCTGTACCTGTGGAATGGATGTCCACCAGGTCTTGGCAGGTCTCCAGGAAGACTGTTCATTGCTGCCCGTTTTCAATTGCTTTTCCATAGTTGGCAGCTTTGGCTGGGTTTTTATGGCACGTTATGATGGTTTGATGGATGGATTTCCTTGTTGCATTTTTTTCTTGCTGCATCAATATGTATTGCTTTTGGCTTGTGCACTGCATCGTACTGCCCTAGAGTATTCTTTGCCTTTCATGAACAGCTTTTCAGGTACTGTGGTGGGAAGGAGCTGGTGGCAAAGCCTTATTGTGTGAGATTGACTTTCTCTCTCATCAGC